GTTTAGGGTTTAGGGGTTAGGGATATCGGGCTTACGGCGTAGCACTTCGGGTTTAGGAGCGAGGGTATACTGCAGTCCGACACTAGAGTCAAGAATGCCGGGCTTTGGCCAGTGCAGAGATGTGAATGTGCACGTATAATTATCGCGTAGGGGCTCGGGGCTGAGGCTTCAGAATTTGAGAGTGTCGGAATCGAAAAACCAAACCCTGAGCACTATGTCCCAAGTCCTTAATCCCGAACCGAATAAGACCGTGTCTCCTAAACCCCACACATGACAGAACCGTCCACTAAACTTAACTAAACCCTGCAGCTGTAACCCTGTAACACCTTACAGAAACCCCACGCCCTAAACCCTTGCGTATACAAACCCTAAGCCCTAAACCCTAAACCCTAAATCCCTGAACCCTAAACCCTAAACCCCTAAACCCCTAAACCCCTAAACCCAAAGCCCTAAACCCTAAACCCTCTCGTCTAAAAAACCGGAAACCCCATGCAGCACGGCGGCCCCATCGCCACGTGCCGCAACCTCGGCCCAAGACGGCTTGGACCTCGGAAGAGGCTCGGATCTGAGGGGCCCCCGCAGGGCTGGCGAGGGCTTAGGGTTGAGAGACCAGGGTTTGGGGCTTGGGGTTTAGGGTTTAGGGTTTAGGGTTTAGGGTTTAGGGTTTAGGGTTTTGGGTTCAGGGTTTAGGGTTAAGAGTTTGGGGTTGTATGGGTTCGGGTTTAGGGTGCTTTTGGGGGTGATGGGCCTTCATTGGCCTGCTAAGCAGCGGAAGCAAAAAGCTCCTGTTTGTAGTTTCTGATACACACTATATATCAGGGTTCAGAGAGAGACCCAGCATTCAGAGTGAGACCCAGCAAAATCAGTACATTATCGCAGCTTGAGGATCTGACAAATGGAATAGCATAGACCCCTACACCCTAAACCTCCTTGAATGCCTCGATCGGCTCGTTACGGTTGTAGCTCGGCCATGACCATAAATCCAAAAGCGGTAACCCAAAACCCTGAGCCCAAAACCCATGAGCGGTTTAGGGTGTAGGATCTATAGGACCCATACCAAGCCTTTCTAAAACCGGAACCCTCGCACCTCGAACAACCCACCTTAACACGTTGACAAACTCGTAACGTAGGGGCCTTAATAATTAGAACAGGGTTTTGGGGTTCCTTAGTATAATTATAGTATAATAGACCCCAAAACCCTATTCTAACGATTAAGGCCCCTGAGTGAGCCCAAGCAAACATTATCAAACCTTCATAACAGGCTTATAGAGCCCTTATCAACTGGTAACCCCAAGCTAGAAAAGCGCAACTAAAATCCTGCATACCCTAAACCCTAAACCCCAAACCCTAAACCCAAAACCCCTAAACCCTAAACCATAAACCCCAAAACCCTAAACCCCAAGCTAGAAAAAAAACAAAATCCAGACCCTTGAAGCCTTCGGCTTCGAGCAAAAACCACTGGGCCCCCCCACTCCTCTGTCTGAGCTTTCGGTGCTGCCGATGCCTGCACTCGGGTTTAGGGTTTAGGGTTTAGGGCTTCAGGGTTCTTTTCCCTTGCAGGCTCTTTGGGCGATTGAAGGGTTTTGTTCTACGATAGTCGAACTTCTACGACCGCACTCGCCACCTTGGGCACGTAGACTGTTGAAACTTACGTTGTTTAGGTTTTAGTGTTTAGGGTTTGGACCTTCGGCCCGGACGCCCGGAAAATGGAAAGCCTCAAAACCCAGACAACTACCCTTAGGCTCCATAGACTCCATAGTAGTTCCTTTTGGGGGTTACCTTATAGGTTCCTAAATATAAAAGCCCGAACTAAGCCAAACAGTGGCTTCACTGATTGGCCCGAAATTTGGGGGGCGGCGGTGTTGGGCCTCTGCGTGAGAGGAACATGGGGATTCTAGGGCATACTGCTTCAGGCTCAAGGAATTGAAGGGGGATGCAGGCTAAAGGGTTAAAACCCTAAACCCTAAACCCTAAAGCCCTGGACCCTAAATTAGACTTTCCGGGTTTAGGCTGGTGCTGCAGGCTGGACCTGTTGGGGTAGAGGGCTTAGGGGGGCAGCCTAAACCCTAAACCCTGAAC